GGGGCACAGCCGGCCTCCCCGGGGGCTTCACTGTCATAAAAATATGAAAATAACTGAGCCATAACTGTGGGCATAAAAGCATTTCCCATTACCTGGAAAACTGGATTATTCTATGAGGAAGAACAACAGCTAAGTAAAACAATGACTTAATTATAGTGACTTGCCTAAATGGTTTTAATGTGGAGAGCAGAAATACTTATGACTAAATGAGGTCTTATGGAAAAGCAAAAAATCTACCGCGACGCTCAAGTCCATCAGATCACGGGATCGTCTTCTAAGACGTGATGGAGGCCTCAGCTGAAATGGCAGATCAAATTACACAAAATATTTGCTGTGCAAGAGGTTAGTAATCCTCTAGTGGCAGAGTGGCAGATGAAGGGATCTGATTTTCCGAGTCTTCTCTGTCTGATCTCGGTTGTCCCATTGTAGTCTTTTGAGCAGACTGCCGTAAGAATAAGCTGCGCACCAAATTGAGAAATACAGACTCAGATGGTAATAATTTAGTATCCTTTCAAACTAAGGATGTGATGAATTTTCTTTGCTTGTAATTGTCTTCATATTACAAATACCTTGATATGGACATGGCATAGCAAGGGTAGATTTTGGATAAAAGAATAAAAGTTGGTCCTCATCTTGAAAGACATGTTTTGTGAGATGATTACATGTCTGACAAGATGTATTGCCTTGTTTTTACTCTGGTGACTGGAAGGCTTCTTGCTTATTTTTATTTGCAAACAGCTGCAAGCCTCAGCATGTGAAGAGAAGAACGTCATGGATGAGTGTTCTGGGCTGGCTGCCCAAAACTTGTTATGATCATTATACATCCCTCACACAGTATGTGGCAGTTTTCCCATCTTCATATGTATCTTTGTGTAGAAGGAGAGCTGAAAGGTCTGTCTTGGAGTATAGTTATACAACTCCAAAGTGAATAATAAAAAGCCAATAACGAAATTAGAAACTGACAGAAACATGAAATGACTTCTGGTTTCCTAATGCACTATGAGTAGTGCTATAATAATCAAGCTGGCAAAAATCAATAAATCCAGTGGTTAGCAATACTTAAAATATGGAGCTGAGATAAAAGATGAAACTTTTTCACCCTCACTTCAGAAGCTGTCTAAAGCCTGAGCTCTCTGAATGGAGTACATTACCTTGTTAACATCGCTAAGTGCATTACACTTGGATATATTATTTGCAAAGAAAAAGATTTTTTTTTATTTTGTGTTCTTTGTAATAATCCTCTTAGTGTTTTTAAATGCTTCATTTTTAAGGCTTCTGCAACGTGTCATACATAGTCTTCGCTGATGATCATGTTGTTGATATTTATGTTACTTCTTTAAGTGTTTCTGCTGCTGCCTGTACAGTGAAGGCTGCAATGGAAATCTGCCTCTCAACTTCTTTCCAGGCTTCATGTTGATCAGCTTTGTTTTTAATGTCAAACATGGCATCATAGATCCCTGGGAATGATTCTCCTGCATACTTGTTGTGGCTGCTTGGAGCAAAGATAACATGTCTGTAGGGAAGTTAAGGGAAAAAAATAACAATATTCTGCATTAGGAAAATAAAGCATATTATTTTCTGAATAAAATTAATCTGTTTCTATACATCTGTTAAATTGTTGAAATTGAAGATGTAAATAAACAAGATTATTGCAGTGATAGTGCCTATCATCCATGGAGCAAGTAAATAACATAAGCTAAATTATTCCATGTGAATTCCAGAACTGTATAACTGAGAAGACTTGAGATAAAATTGACTAAAGTATTTTCCTTTCCCTCGTTTTAGATGAAATGGAAAGACAAAAAAAAGCCAGCTTCTCTTCTCACAGATATCCACAACCTCCAACAGATACAGGCATGCTTTGAGGTAGGAAAGCCAGGGCTTTAACAAGATACTCTGCTCAACAGATTTTTAATCAGAAGCTATGAGGGGTACAAGGACTGTAGATCGTAAGTTCCCTTTCTACAGTTACTCTTTAGTGGAACTCTTTAGTGGAAAGATTACTGTTCTGAATTAGGCAGATTGGTAGAAGGACCAAAAAGCTAGACTTGACTATTCTGCCTCGCAAACAAGATCTACTTCTTGAACTGGACGACAGAACTACTGAATCCATTGCTGTTGAAGTACTGCCCTCTACACTGTATTTGCTGCCATTACTGTTTTGCTATAATCAATCAAATTGTCGATATTTCAATTATACCCTACTTCACTTTCAAATAATAATAACTTCCTAAAGATCCTTTACCACTGAAATTACGTGAACTGAGTCCAGGGACAAACTTTTAGATCTGTTTAGAAGTCCACTGAAATCAATGGAAACGAGTTTACTGAACTGAGTAGGCTTCAAACAAGACTCTTCCTCATTCTGTACGATGTATCTCACTGAAGTTTTCCCTCATGTTATTTTCCCTTTTCAATCTTATTTCTCCTGTTTAATCTACTTTTACCATGTTGAATAAAATCATTACAATTCCATTTAGAGACCTGTAAATTTTAAAGGAATTCTAATAGGGTACTCCATGCTGAAAGTGAAAAATAAGCCTTTCTTACCTATAGAATGGCCTGCCAGGTAATCCAAGAGGATCGATGAAAGCCCTTTCTAGAAACATGAGCTGATCATTTAGTGATCTAACAGCAATTAGGCTAAAAAGAAAATAAAAGAATATGTTTAACTGTTAGTGTTTGGCTCACTCTCATCCCAAGCCCCAATGTACATAGCTCTGGATTTATGAAGGACATTAGATCCAAAATGATGAACTTGAAGTATAGCCCACAGAAGACAGCCCATGTCAGCTAACCCGCACAACAGAATTATGCAGATCTGTACTGTGAGGAAGTCTGGTTCATAACCTGAAAAGTCTCTTAAAGCTGCTTTTAAAGGTCAAGGAATAGTGTCAAAGACGACAGACTTTCAGGTATTTTCTCTCATGTTGCATCGTATTCCTGTATCTCCTCTTCATTAGGAGGCTTAGGCAGACAATTCTTTTCTTTTGTACCACAGATTTCTGAAGACACTCTTTTCCACAAAGCCAGCCAGCAGCAAATTACTTCAATAATATCACACTTATTTTTATGTAAAATCACAACATCTGAGAAACAGGAACCTTGTGATGTTAGAATCATCTATTGAATCATCCCAGAATTGTGTTTTTCTGATGGCAGATTGTAAATTCCCTAGAGCAGAGACCATCTGTGTCTTGTGTGCTTAGAATAGCTCTGGGCATACTACTGATGCTTAACAAATAAAAGAACTGTGAAGAAGATTATACTGAATATATGTGGGTTTGGTAGTTTACATCCAAAGTAACCTACTGTAGTGCTTCAAAGGCACTCACCAAGAACAAATAGTAAAATTCATGTCACTGTAAACCTGGAGTAACTCTACTACCGTCAATGAAATTGTTTCACATTTACATTAGTGTAAAATGGAAACTGAAATTGATTCCTTGAATTAAAGCTTAGATTTAGGCCATCCATCAATGGAACCATTCTGAAAATGTCACATACATGTCGTATGTCATAAATGTCATGTTTTACATAAGAAATTATTAACTCATTTTTCTTGAAAGTTGCTGCCATTAAAAAGATGGCTTTTATTCTCACTTAGTCTTCCGTAAGGGTAAGCATATGGCTAAATTAGATTCTTCCCAAGAAATGTAACTTACACATATGTATATGTAAAAGGAAGTTTAGTTTCTTATTCTGGGCATGGTCTCCAAAGAATAAATTAAGAATTAAGACAAGTGCAAATTAGGCCTTTTGGCACAGGTGGTGCATAGAATTTGGGGAAAGCTCACCAAAAAGCTTGCCACAGCTACAATCATGGTATATATATTTTTTTTTTTCATTAAGTGGTACTAGTATCTTGAAAACCAGCATGCTGGCAAAGAAAGACCACAAGTCAACATTTATTCTTTAATTATAATTCAGTAACAAAATCTTAGGATGTGTCTACTTGGAGGGAGTTACACACCTGAGCTGGCTCTGCTCATGCTAACCAGCATTCTAGTCACATCCATGTACCATCCTGGCACAGTTCCTCAACTAAAACCTGTCAAGAATTGACACTAATAAGCTTGGACACTTTTCAAAGCTAACATGGCTAGATTCCCAGGCTCTGCAGTGTCTCTGGTGTCCACTAATTCAACATTTCTATACTTTGTTTCCTAGAGTAACCAGATCCTTAAAGACAAGAAACCATAAGGACTTATAATGAAACAAATGACTAACAGTCACTTGTCACCAAGGTTATTCAGAGGACTAAATGGAAGTGAAGACTATACCCTCTGAGCCCAGAGGACTACATGGAGTATTTGACTTAAAGAAAAGAAAGAGTTAAACTTACTTATTGATATCTATTTGTTCCAGTCTCTCATGAAAGCTAGCAGCAACTTCTGTAAAATTCTTCACAGCTGAAAAGAGAGCATCTGGAGGGAGCAGGAAGGAAGTATTTAACATCAAATTCTGAAGGAATTACATTTGTTAAATGTAACAAAGCAAATTCTTCAAATTAAAGCTTTATCTTTCACTGTGATCATGATCTGTCAATTCTCACTGAATAAAAATCAGATGACCCCATATTCCTACATTAAAAACTATGTAATTCTGTGTGGAAACTTGCCTAGGAGACCATAGAAGTCAGTATGTTTGTGAATATTAATTATTGTTTGCTCCTTGAAGAAGGTACAGAGACACCAAAAACTAAAGCATGGAATGCCAGAACCAGACTATTCAGGTAGGTCTGAGATTTTATAAATCCCAACAACCTATGTTTTATTGGTATGTCCCTCCACACATGCAGTTTTGAGAAAGACTGAGAGCATGTGTGTGTGTGTGCACATGTACCCAATATTGGTCATTAGCAGCCAAGTCCTAAACTGAGTAGTGTATAATGCTGCCAATAAAATAAGGCTTCTCAGGCAGAAGGCATATTGTGAATCCCTATAACATGAAATAAAATTTCACATGCTAGCACAAGATGCCTATTGTGGCACAGGGATGAACCATTCCTGCCTGACCAAGGCCTGAGGCAAACTCCTCATGGTGCTTGCACTTGCCATCATATGCCCACAAGCTGAAACAAGAGAAATTCTGACTGGATATATGGAGAATATTTTTCACCCTGAGAACAGTCAAGCACTGTGGTCCAGAGAGGTTCTGTAGTTTCTGTCCTTGGAGGTTTTCAAGATAAAGCTCTGAGCAAGGTGGTATGACCTCAGAGCTGACCCTGCCTTGGGCAGGCTGACCTAGAGTCCTAGGCTGACCTAGCCTGACTCATCTTTTGAATCAGGTTCCTTCTATCCTCATACTTTGAATGAGGTTTCATCTAACATGTATTATCCTATGATCCTATGATCAGTGTTGGGCAGAGAATTATCTAGCACCATAAAGCTGCAAAGCAGTGTGATTTTTTTTTAGGGACCAAGACACGAACTATGCACAGGTCAAAGAACATGCTACTGTAAGTGTTAGCTTTCCTTGGCAGTGGCACAGTCTCTACACAGGCACACTAGTGACAAAATACTCAAATTTCAAATCACTGGAGGTTGTGGCTCTTGTTTTATTTACTGTTCACACAGCACAAGGTAAATACCAGGTCATGACTTAAGACATACATTAAGATAAGGTACTGCTAGCATTAACAGCAGAGAAGTGCGATGAAAGACCGTACGTACCAAAGGACACATTGTATGTTGCCAGTTCCTCTTCATGATTCTTTGACAAATTATAGATGATGTGAGCATAGTTGCTCACAGCTGATGCATAATCTCTACAGTCAAAAGGAAGCACAACGGAGTTGGCCAATTCAAACACCAGCCCTCCCCGTACCTGAGCTACCGTCAGATGGTTCTTGAAAGTGGGATCATAAAACCTCTCCACAATTTCATAGGTTTCATAAACACTGTGGTAAACTGGATAGCTGCTATATTTTTCTACATTCTGAAACAAACAAACCCAAAGAAAGTCATTATTCAGCTGTGGATACTTCAGCTTTGCTTGAAAACCTTTGCTGTGGGATTCAAGGCACTGTGAAGTTAAGCGTTCAGGTCACCCTAATCCTATGTGGCTGCTACAGACAGTCCGAGGAGCAGAACTGCTCAGCGGTGGCTCTCAGACATTAACCTATGATGAGAAGGACAGTCATTTGGAGATGCCTCTCTCCACTGACCATGTACAGAGCTTAAGCAAGGTAGCTAAGAAAAGACACATAATTTTTAATTGGCTAAATAAAGGCGAGATTGCCCTTCCTCTCTTTGCTTGGATCTCAACAGTCATTTCTGTTTGTGACTTTGGATATGCCTTTTCAGAGGAAAAGACCACATTGAATAGATTGCTCCTTGAAGATTCCTCAGTTAGTCTTATCTCACAGTCTTCTCCAGTCAAACCCATATTCTCCATAAAACGTGCAGCATTTTGAATTCAAAGCTTCATAAATTATTACAAACCATTCAAACATCATCATAGGCCACTCATAAGTCTTCAACAACCACAGGTAATTCTGAGCACATCCATTTACCCTGAGTAAAGTTCTTTTGTCTGACTGACGCCAAGCTGACCATTACTATTTATTAAATATTTGTGTTGTAGTAGCACACAGAGTTCTAGTAATAAACTAGGTCTCCACCCTGACACACTCAAATTAACTAGTCCAAAAAGCTGGCAGTCTAAATGGCTCAATTACAGGTGATATTATTCAGGCAATTGCAGGGGAGACAAAATTATAAAGACACAGACTTACCCAGTTTTTACTGTAACGTGCTCTGCCTGAAGCGATGCCAAGACGTTGAAAAAAGACTTCAAAGTCATTGCCAGAACCCAGTTTATTTATTCTTTTAACAAGAAAGAGGAAAATGCCTTGAGTGACAATATTTGAAGTATAATTTTAGTTTGCTTCCAAGTACTGTTCAGTTATTTGTTCTGCAGTCGCAGTCACTACACAGTCCTTCCCTAGTCTGCTCTTCCTGTCAATATATCATGAATTGCCTGTGGCCCCCACATTACATGCAGCTCACCAATTGTGTTCTCAGAGGAGCAGAGTCATCATTCTCAGGGTCATAGAAATCAAACTCTGAAGAGAAGAATTTAACTCACTGTCTCTAATCATTGAGAAGACCCAGTGGCCTTCCTCCTATCTTCCACTATCCCAAGTTCTCAACTCGGAGAAATCACAACAGTTGCAGCATGGCTCCATGGAATAGTATCAGTCTTTGAGATTCTATAGAGAAACCCTGGTAAATTTGAAGGAGAGTGTTGTAAAAACCTGCCTGGTGTGCTCCCCAGCCACCCAAACTGCAGGATAGGTCTTTTCCAACCTTAAAGATTCTATGATTCTATGACTGGAAGCAAGTACAAGGGAAAGCTGCTGTTAGCATCTTGTGTGCCTGCCGCTGGTTTGCGCATACCACCCTTATTTGTTTAAATCTCTGTAAACTACATGAACACTTTACTTTTCATGTTACAAAGGCAAACCCACAAAACTGTTGTACAATAGCGTATCAGCTGCTATCAATGTAACTCTGAAATTTATACCAGGTGAGAATCACCATTTCTTTTAGGTGTTCAGTTTTTCAAGTGGATATTTCTTTAAAATCCACACTCTGCAAGTTATAATAACTTTTGGTATATAATTTATTTTCTTTTGTCACTGACCTGGGGACCTCTTTATATTCTCTTGATGGATTTTTTTTATACCAGCTCTCATAAAGAGATTTTCCTTCAAACCCCTCATCAGGACTTGGTATCTAGAAAAAGTATATTGTAAAAAATGACAAAAGGTACAATTTTAAATGTTACCAAGCAACAAATCTACAGCCTGTCATCAGGTAAAGTATAGCTTAGGGTAATGAATACATCACAGTCTTAAGTCCCTCCACTTTTCTGCATTTCCGTTGCATAGCATTTTCCAGAGGACTAGTTTATTTGCTAAAAATAGGTACTTTTAGATGGAAGAGAACACAGGGAAAGTAAAACATTTCAAGTAAATATTTACATTTTGATACGCTTTATGAGATTTTCAGCCGTTTAATTTAAACACCAAAATCCCTCATAAAACCAAAACTTTTTGTTTCACTTCATCAGGAAATTTCAATTTTGTCTTGGCTTAATTCAAAACTGTTTCTACCTTGGTTTAGTTCACAAAAATTATTTTCATGGATGCAGCAGTAACCTTAGAAGGGCAAAGTGTACAGTACTTGGTGCTTATGTCATCATAGCTGCTACAGAAGTATATAAATCATGATCATCCTAAAGTTCATTTTTATCACTCTTTTCAGACTACCTACTGAGCAGGTTAAACACTGTGGGTATTTTTTCATCTTTCCTTTTTGTTGAGAGGCATATGAGGTTTAATCTTTAATTAATTCGAGATTATTGCTATCTATTTTATTATTAATATCTATATCTACTATTTAAAATTACTCCACAATAGAAATCAAAATAAAACTAATATATTTGCTTTTTGGTCATGAAGCTAATTGTTCATAGAACAGCGTTAACACTTTTTTGCCACAGATTAACTTGGGATGGGAACACACAGGACCTGCTTCCCAATCAGCATTCTCTTCAGACATCAGCTGCCAACGAGCTGCGGCTACACGCGTTCATCAGCCTTTGCTGCTGCTTCCCAGCTCAAGGAGGGGTCACCCAACCATGTCTACTGGTATTTAGGTCAACACTTTAATGATGGCTCTTTGTGTCCAAACGAAGGCTCTGCTGAGCCGATTTTCTGACCATTCTGAATACCTGCCCTTAGCACAGGTTGCCATGGGAATTGCAGGTGATCAGCTCTTCTGCAGTTCAGGACAGAAATATCTTTATTTGGGCACCTAATTTTAACAGAGTTAAGTTTTATTTGTTGTTTTTCAATTGCCAGAAAAGGATTATACTGAATTACGACATTTCCTTTACTTTTGTACCAGTCTAATGGTACTTTCTCTTCCAAGAGACAAAAAATTACCAACCCTGGAAGAGACAGATATAGTAATTTCATAGACTATATACAGTAGTTAAATGTACATTACATATATGTATATAAAACGCACACACAGAATACTAATTAAATGTTCATGCTTTAATACAGATGAACAGAAAAAAACCCCAGAAATAAAAAGCACTTAATGACAGCCTCTAAGACCTACTCTCAAAGCAAGGAACATCTTACATCTAAGATGCTGAGGTTATTTGCTGAGAAAGGGCTCTACCTTATAATTTTGTGTGCCACACAAACACGTGTGAGAGCATCACGGTCAGAGCCAATGAATATCTAACAGGATACACTGAAGCTGAGCACATTGACCAAACCTGTCACATCCTGCTACAAACAACACTTTGGCAAGCCTACCTTCTTCTCCTCCTGCCTAAAGGGAGTCAGTCTCCCATTACCATGGGCACCACAGTAGTTGGGCTGGGCGGCCAAGTCTGTGCTTAGTTCTGTCCTCTGGCTCATGGCATTTTTTCATTCTCCTGTTCTTAGAAGGACTACGCTCACAGAAGGAGTGGTAAAATCCATAAATCCTGAATAGCTAATAATTTAAAGATATAAGCTTAAAATCCCTTTGCTACTCCTGGAAAAAAAACTCCAGTAACTTAGCTATTGTCTTAAAAGGGGTACTGCAGTTAGAAAAGAAAGAAACATCTAACACCATATTTTATACACAGAGCCCCACTCAGTAAGTGAGCACTGAACATGCTGGCTAAAAAGTTCAAGCGGTATTACCTCTTTAGTCAGACTGTACACTAGTCTGTACATCAGTGGTGTGCAATCCACTCGTAGCGTGTAGTTTCCTAAAAAGCAGGAAAAACTGTTTATCCAAAGAAGCAAGTTCTACTCAGCTGAAACCTCATGCCATTATTTGTTCATAAGAAAGGGACAAGAGAGCTACGCTGTCTACAAGGAACAAGTTTCTTCCTGCAGAAGAGTTCTCCTGTGATCTTGTCAGTGCATTTGTATTGGTTAGGATGAATTACAAACCAGCTTTCGAAGAAACCCTGAAGACCTTTTCTTATGTCCCTATGTATATTACACAAGCTGTAAGAGGAGAAGATGGCTCTACAGAGTTGCTATAGAACTGCTCACAGGGGCACAACACTTCTTGTCCCTTCCCATGACTTCCCAGATAGTGTAGCTACTGTAATGGACTTCTTCCCTGAAGCAACAGGAGTATCTGAAGGATGCTTCACGAATCTGGGTCACAATTTGCCCCCATATCTACTCCCGAACTAATGCAACAATATTATCACGTTGAAGCTTTTACGGATCTCCAAGCCAAAATGCCTCCCAGTCACCTGTATATACCATCACTATTCCTGTGAAACACAAGTCAAAACCATGTACCTTCAATGGAGGAATCTGCATTGATGTAAGCCACTCCTCGTGCTTGCAACACTTTGGCATTTTCCTACGAGAAGGAAAAGAGGAAGAAAACGCTGATGAACTTTTTTTTCGCTGTGAACTGTTTTCCCATCCACAGAAGTAACAGCTGCTTCAGGGAAAGACATACACTGCAAGGAACCATATATTCTTGGTAGTTCAAAAGGAAACTTAAGAGTGTGTGTGTGTTTAAGAAAGAGAGAGGGAGGGAGGGAAGAAGTGTTGCTTTCTGGTATAGATTTCTCAAAGATCTGCCATTGTGAAAGTTTCTCTCTGAATACTATTGGTTTACCTCAGCCCACTCTGTCGATCCTAACAAGCCAAATTCCTCTGCATCCCAGCTTGCAAATACCACTGTTCTCCTGGGGCTCCATCCTGCCATAAAAGACCACGAAAACTGTATGAAAGACAGACTGCTTGTTACATGGTAACTAATGTGAAAACAAATGTCATTTTTTGGGGGCTTATAATTTATCCTTAGTTTAAGGAACTCTACACCACCTTCTTCACTAATCTAATCTAATCTAATCATGGTTTGCTAATTTTGTAGCAGTATCACTTCTACTTCAATATTGTGCCAAATAATGTATTTCTTTTCTTCTCTCAGCTTTAATTGCAAGAAATTTTTCAAAAATGTGAAACTCTGAACAAGGAAAAAAAAAGTGCTTGTACACAAATCCTTGAAAGGAAGCTTTTCTACTCTTTTTGCTCTGTTCAATTCAGTACACATTGTATACCAGTGTCTACTTTGACAAAAAAGTGTTTGGCATGTTTTCGTATCTATTACTGAATTTCTTTGACCTGTCTCCCAAATGCCAGATTTAAAAACCTAAGGAATTCCCTGTAACTTTGACAGATCACCTTCAAAAGAAAGATCTTTCACTTGAAGTTCTGCATTCAATTTAAAGCCAGGCCAAATGGAACAGGCTCTATTGCCCTGCCTCTGTATCTTTGCCCAAAGTTTTCTTTGAGGCTACTGGAACCTTTCCTTCTTTTGCTCCCTTTCTTTTTTACCTTTTTTTTTTCCCCCAGCTTGCATTCCAAAGACAGTTTCCCCTGATACTGAATAACGGGGAGGGCATGGAAAAAAAACTAAATGTCAATAGGTTTTAAGTGTAATAGGTAGGCAAAGAAAGCTCCTCTAGCACAGTATTTGAGTTATGTCAGAGCTTCTTTCCATGGCGTGGCTGATAGGGAGACAGCATTTGCTCTGACAGCAGCAGAAAATTGGTACAGTTGGCATTTGTTCCTATTCTACTGAAACTAGGCGTGAGGTATTTTTAACCATTACCTCCTACTATGTTTGCACAGCTCATTCTCTGCATTATACAGACATGCTTTATGTATTCTTGGGTCTGTCTCCAAACTACAGCTGAAGTGCTGAGAAGGTTCTCGATGCTGCTCTGATGAAGCCTTGCTCAGTCCACCACTATATCAATTTTATAGGACCACTGAAACATCCGGTCTGACCAGCCTCAAATACACACTAATCAATTGTACTCAAATGTCATATTTATTTTAGTATGCCCCATTTTGTGTTTGTTTTCCTTTAGGTGTACTTTCTCTTGAGCAGAAGTACCTCACATATACCAAGGTTGTAACTGGAACTAATTACCAGCTGCAAAGCAGCATGCTTATTCAAGAGATCAGTGAGATATATGTGTTTAAGCATATGCTTAAATCCCAGAGAAATCAATGGGCACTGCTGAGAGCAGTGATTTTGGTGTGCTTTATTCTTTCATCACATTACCTTTCCTTTTCAGTTTTCCAAAGCTCCTCACAATCTCATGAACCACAGCTGCCCCACTCTGAGGATCAATGCCACCAAATACCCAAGAGTCACGGTGGCCTCCCAGGATGACATATCTGTCTAGAGAAAGTAATCATGGAGGTTTACTTAGAAAAACTTTTTTCCTGCCATAGAGCTGTTAATTGGAAGTAATATCTGATTTTTCATGTAGATGTCAGGCAGCAAAGCTTTGATTGTTTATAATATATAGGACAGAAAGGCAAAAGACATTTTAAATCTCCAAAGACATGTTTCTGCATTTTCAGCTAGTGCTAAAGAATTTGTGAAACACAATAACTTGATCCCATAAGACTTAAACCTCCTAAATTCCATAATGTTACTTCTATTACTAGAAATACCACAGTTTTCCTCTGGATAGAAGCATCTTTCCATATTTACAATAGTATGTTTCATGATAAAGCTGATCTACTAATTTTATTTATACAGCATGCCAACTCACAACATTAAGGTGTGCTGAATGCAGTATTTCTCTGCATATGTATACAGTCGATCATAAAAAGGCTTGTCCAAATCATACAGAGATGTAATTAATAAGATCAAAGTCAGGCTAAACCTCTGTGCTACTATAATATGGTTAATAGTTAACAGGGAAGTGCTGCAGTTACAAGTTAAATGATGTTATCATGATCCTAGGCGTGTCTGTATCGCTGGGTTTTTAGAGTGTAAAATCACACTGGTTACAAGAGACTGTAAGACAGCTAAAAAGTCAATAGTGGTGGATATGATGTCTTCCGATGGAATCCATTGCCATGTTAGTAGGGAAGAATATCCACTTAAGAATATTCTTCCCACTGCAAGGTTACTTGCCTGAAGACAAGTATTTCTGTCTTGGTTATGACGTCCCCTTGAAAATCAGCATTTACAGTGAAAGTGCTGACGTACCCAGAACCATATGAAAGCTGATGCAATAAATGTTTCAACACCAATGATCACATAGTGCAATATTTCAGAGAAAACTATATTCCCCATTTCCCCCTTGTAACTATGAAGCGCATGCAGACGTCACTGCACGCTCACATTACACTGAAGACAAATGACTTTACCTGGTTCCACTGTGCCTCTGATGGTACCAATCACATTGTAAATCCTTGTTATTTCATTGTGGCTATGAATGTGCATTTTCACCTTTCTAGTGTATCGGGAAGAAAATCCAAAGAGAAAATCCACCAGATTAGATAATAAAACACCTTGACACCTTTCAAAAGCGTACAAGTATAAATTGTAAGGGAACTATTTCAGCCAAATTTACCCTCCATGAAACCAAAACAAATCTGAAAAGACGTCAGTGTATTTTTTCTGGATTTATACCTGTGCAATTGAGAACAGCATTTAGCCCTTGAAAGCTACACACTGTTATTGACGTCAGTCAGATTTATATGGATAACAGGCTCAGAACTCCAAATTCAAAGAATATTTTTTTTATTTGCTAGCAGATAGTTTTTAAATTTGGAAGAGTGAAAGAAATATTTAAACCATCTAACGTTAAAAAGGTAAATAGTTCTGATCACCTAGAGGTTGGTGCAAATAAGAAATTACTCCAGCACAGTCAATACTGATGTGTCAGCTCAGGAAGCAGAAAATCAGACAACCTGAGTTGCATCAAGAAACTTTGTTTATCTACGACTCAGCTGGAGGTACAACTCATCCTGAAGGGTTGCCTGTATATTTTTCAGAAAGAATTTTTCATGTGCTATGACTAAGACATAGGGAAAAGGTCAAACGGTTCATAAGATGTCAGTGCAATAGCTCAGCCAATATTGAAACACCTGGTCTCTACTCCTAAACTATAATTACTAAATCAGTTTAAAAAGAAGCTGAATCAATACAAATGACATTGTAGTTAAAGCTTCTTTTCTGGAAAACGCGACTTGTAGGTTAATTTGTTTTATATGAGGGAGGCAGTAGGTAAGACTAGAAGCTGGACCCACATGAATTTAAACCACACAAATTCAGTTCTCAAAAATAACCAGTTTCATCAAATAGTTAGTCAAAGGCTAAATGCTTTTCAGATGAAACAGGTTCAAGACTAGCTGGAAACTAAAGCAATTCAGTCATACCCAAGACGTAGATCTACTGAAGCTTTGCACTGAGCACATTTTAGCCCAGGAAATGGTCATGATCAAAGGAATGATGCAAATAACACCAACCACTCTACCTTTGGACAAATTCTATTGCTCTACCTGTTTTTGTCTGATCCCGAGCATGCTTTCCTTACGAAACAAAACTGACCTTGTAGAATAATTTGTTGTGAAACCAGGACCAACGTTGTAAGATATATTCAAATCTCCTTTCCAGCTACTATGCGGTGGTGCATATCCTCCCATATTGCTATTATGAAAAAAATAATTACCATTATTAGTTACAGACATCTTACAATAGCACCAAACACAAATAAGGAACCAGGAACTCACGAAGAGTACAAGGATCTCGTTA